TTTACTTAAATACATTCTTACTTTATTTCACAAATATATTCTATTTCTCATCCTGGTACCTCATCACTTACTAATAAAGTATCCTTTATTGTCTCAATCCAACTTCCATATTATAATTCAAAACTATATTCTAATGGCTAGTTTTTATTTCCCTTATAAATCTAAGTCCTAAATATTAAATCAATTAATATCTTTTAAAATCTCCTTAGCCCATTAAGTAAGATTTTAGGCTCTTCTATTATAAATCAAAAAAGAAAAAAGAAAAAAAATCCCATTTTTTAAGTCTAACTCTAGCTTTCTTTTTGTGCCAAGCAGGCTTCCATACTAGTGCCTCTAAATCTTCAAGTGTCTCTCCCTTCATTCTTACACTTGTTATTTGAATCAAGGGAGACCATCCAGTTATCAATTTTTCAAAGGAACTGGCCCCTTTATAATAATTGAATTGTTGCCCTAATAGTTCAAATCTCCATGTTTGGTTTAGAATATTTGTCGTCAGTTCAGTCTAGTCTTCTTCTTCTGGTTTCATCTGGCTTGAGTAAGAGGTCATGTCTAATGTTGTGATTGTTGTTGGATTGTCTAGGTTATCTAGGTTCTCGATATATTGTACTTGTTTCATCTTAGTGTTGCTTTCTTCAGTTTCTGTTGTTTTTTGAATTGCAGATTCTTTAGTTGAACTCAAGGTTTCACTATTAAAGTTCTCAGTAGATTGTTCTTGTTGTTCTTTAAAGTCCTCTTTGATATTAATTTGTTCCTCTTCTGTTGCTTTTTGGGTTGTAAGTTCATCAGCTGAAATTTGGGCTTCATTTTGTAAATTTAAGGTGACATCTTTGTCTTTCAATCTGGAATTCATTAGCTCAGAAGCTTCAAGGATTTTTTCAAGTATAAGTTTATAGTTAAATTGTGGGTAGTATTCCTCCATTTCTATGGTGTTTACAGATAGTCCTTTAGTGGAGACTATTTTTGATAAGAGTCAGTGAGTGTCCACCTCCACTGTTCCTAGAAGTTGTTTTCACCACCCAGCTGTTTCAAATTCTTATCTTTTTTAGATAGTACCAAGGACAAATCTAGGCAGTAAGCAGATCTCACAGTCAAAGAAATTCACTTGCTATACCAGGCTTCGCCACAAGTTGTCTCCGATAGCATGTAAAGTCTTTTTCCAAACTCAAGTTAGGCTTTTATCCGGTTTTTTAAAAAATTCTTTCTTTCCAACTTAACAAGTAGATAAGGTAATAGGTCCCCGTAGAGATGGGAGCTTTTTGGGACCCCAAATATCCAAAAAGTGCAAATCCAATTATTTAGTTGTTTAGTTTAGTTGTTCTTTTCTTTTCTTTTCGAAGCTTTAATTTTCCAAAGTAGGCAGATGCCGCCATGTTAAAAGGGGGGAAAATTTCAAAACGCTTTTACAGGAAGATAGTTGGGATACAAGAAAGGTAAGGTAAGGTCTCATCCAATTCCTCCGCAGTGCTTTTGTTGTGCTTGTAGTGATTTTGGCTTTCGGCTGGTACGGCTTAGTGATCAGCTATGTTGATGGCTGATCTTTTCTCCATCAGTCCAAAGGAGCTGCCTCGGATCAAACGGAAGAGCTGCCGCCCTTCCGCAATCTGTTGAGGGTCCTCCTCACAGTCGTCACCCCTGCAGGCCGACTTTCGGCCCTTTTCAGGGTCTCCCGACGAAGAAAAACCAGACGTCGGAGAGAGCACTTCCACTACCTGTCCGCTGGCGCCGCAATTGCAAACCAGAAGCCAAATTTGGCCCTTTTATGACTTGTGGACTTCAACTCCAGAATTCCTCAGCCAGGCACGCTGGTTGAGGAATTCTGGGAGTTGAAGTCTACAAGTCATAAAAGGGTCAAATTTGAAGACCCCTGGTCTAGAGTAACTTAAAGTTGGAGTTGTGAATGGAAAAATCATGCACTGCAGCTCTGATGTGTTCATTAAAGTTGCTTGGATTTTCAAAGAGGCCTTTTTTGTTGTAGGTTCAAATAAAGTGCTTGTTCAGAATAGACAGCAAAGTAACACAGTGCCCCAATTCTAAGTAGTGTATCATTTTAAGTCTCTCTCATCCTAGTCCAAAATTTAGTAAGACAATAGCTTACTAAAAATTCAGCAAATCAGCAACAGCCAAACCCTACTAGCTTTTAATGAAGCTAAAAACCCAATAGTATTTTCAAATCTTGGGTCCCAGCCATGTTTTCTGAAACCCTGATTAAACCCATAGACTTTGTACTCGTCAGCATTATACTATAACTTATAAACCTACTCAAATGCTTAAATAGTTTCAGACACTTAACTTTGTTCTGCCTTGTTTGCAAACCAAAACAGCTTCCTATTCTAGCCTTCACTTTGTCTAAGATCTCTTCTTAAAGTGACAATTGAGTTTTTAAGTACATTTTTAAAGCAGTACATTGAGATAAATATCTACTCTGTATTATAAATGTGTAGTGCATAAATAGTAGATGTGTAAATAGGATCCATTGCTGAAAGGGAAAGGGAAAAGACTGCTATTGGCAAGGAGACTTTCATTTGAACTTTAAGTGGTGTCTGAAATTATCTATCACAATTGGACAGCAAACAATTCTTGAGAAATATGCAGCAGACTAAGTATTGAGACCAATCTGCTGCTTGAAAAATGAAGAGTTATCAAGCAGATGGCATGCTGGAATCTCTTGCAGGTCAATTTATATCATTGAAGTATTCTGTTGAGAACCCATGGAAAATGCATTGATGTTGTCTCCAGTCCATTAGCATTCCCCTTTTTCAAGTAACAATCAGTAGGTTTCAGAATATCCAAGGAGGATATGGTAGATCTTACTAAATCTACAACCTCATAGATTATAAATGTTTCAACATTGTTTTATAGGAACTTTTACATATCAGCTCTAGTCTATTTTATACCCTTTGGCATCCTTGTTTCTCTGTTCCTAATGGACTTTTCTCTAATTTATTCCATCACCTGTCAGTGTTTTCTATTATCCCTGTTTTAGCTGTTAGGTAGTTTTGTAGCTTCTTCTCTTCATCTGAGAATTCTGACTGTAGGGAAGACACAGTAGATCTGCAACAAAAAGCTGTATTATGGAATGCTCCTATTTTAAGATTCCAGTCAATGTCCAGAACAAAATCCCCCCTTTATTATTTATTTTTAAGAATGCTTCATTCAGAACAGCCAAGCTGTATTTTCAACAGGTAAGCATGTTCAGCAACTGAGCAACCATTTTTGCACAAGGAAAATATCTTTTTGGATGGGAATAGAAAACAGAGAATGCTGCTTAATGATTCATTCAAAAAAACGTAATGTGTGTATGTGTGAGGGTGGGGAGATATCTGCAGTAGCTGCATTGTGTTGCTGGGATAGATAACCACCCCCTCCATGTCTCTGTTTTGCTTACACATATGAATGAGGCGAAACTTGTTTGCTATGGCACAACATTGCTCTCTGTATTTTGATGAAAACCTCTGATCCTACAGATGCTCTGCACTCACATGTTTCATATTATCCAAGAACAATAATGCTACCCAGCCAATTATGATATTCATGAAATCCATACATGTGAGACTTCTAGAAGTCCATCCAATAGAAAAATAAGAAAACAGTTAAGTTGGCTCTATTCCATGGGTGTCAAACTTGCTGCGTCATGTGACATGTTGTGACGTATCGCGACTTTTTTTTGCATTGCCGGAGCTGGGGTAGGCACAGTCTCCGTATGATGTAACCGGCCCATGCACCAACAGTTTGACACCCCTGCTCTATTCCCTCGCAAAGGGAAAACAGATTGTCCTGTAGGGGAAAAAAGCTGATTGAACTTGAATATAAAATGTAGTCTGCCTATCAGGAGCAAGGAAAATAGATTGCTCAATTTATTTTCTTTTACATCTGGAACTGACATCATCAAGGAGAGGCATGCTCCTGGTTCCATTTCTTAGAAAGTTGTCATTTGGTAGGGCCCAGGAGGAGAGCCTTCTTTGTTGTGGCCCTCATCTTCCACAACATCATCCCCCCTGATACCAGATTTGGCCCAAATCTATTGGCATTTCATAAGGCCTTGAAAACCTGATTTAGTTGAACTTTGGGCTCAATACATTTTGTTCTGTGGTTTTTAATCTTAGTTTTAAGTGTTATTAGCCTTCCAGAGTCATAAATTTAGTATGGGTAGCAGTATAAATTGAATGATGCCCTAAACACCACTGAAGATGTTACCCAGCCTGGTAATGAAACATTCGGAAACCAGCCCTCAAGCTCGGAAAACAAATCTTCACCTTCATTTTGCACCCGAGCTACAGAAATTCACCACTATTGCAAATTAATAAATAGTCTAAAAAGAAGATCTACTCTTAATTTTATTTTAATCCTTTTGATATTTTTGTGATGGCTTGATTGTATTATAGATTGCTTGAGAAATATTTAATATGAATTTAAAAGAAATTGAATGATTCTTATGTATATGTACATATTTTCCATCATATTGATTCCCCTCTGCCCAACCAGACAATTTTTTAATGTATTTTTTATTATTTTTAAAATTATTGTCAAAATAATTTTACGCCAAAATCAATTGTTACAGTCTCAGAATGTGATTACACAAGTTAGCATTCCATTGTGGCTACGAATCCCAATGCTCTATCTCATTGAAATAGATTCTTATCTATTGTATTGGGGGTTTCCTAGTAAAATAAAATGTTTCAGGGTAGACAGCTTGCTCTAGTAATCTAACTTCATGATAAAAATAACAATGACAGAACTTTTAATCTTGATTAAAAGTTGCTTCTTTGTACCTGTCTCAAAAAAAAAAATCAAAGTTCAGTGCCGAGAGAGAATAACTAGTCAAGATCACCTACCTGGCTTCATGTCTAAGGCAGGCCTAGAATTAGAATGTCCTAGTTTCTAGCTTTCTGCCTTTAAATACAACACAAAATTAACTCGGTTTTATAATTATAAGACTATAATTATGTTAATGACCTTTTTAATGTTGAAGTTTCACCTAACACTTTATATTTTTTTTCCAGATACCACCTCAAGTACAGAAGTAAAATATGTGATTGCTTTGGTCGCAGTTATATGCCTTGTCCCGTTGCTGGTGATCGCCATTGCTGTGATCATTATCTTTTACTTCTACCGTGTTCAGAGGAGGAGGAAACTCAACAAGGCATGGGAGAAAAATGTGAAATCCAGAAAGCACAAAGACTGTAGCGATGTTTGTGCCATTATGCTGGATGATGATCGCTCTGACATCAGTTCTACTTGTGCTAATAATATTAACCATAACACCGAATTGCTGCCTATTGAATTGGACACTTTGGTAGGCAAAGGGCGATTTGCAGAAGTCTATAAGGCTAAACTGAAACAAAACACATCAGAACAGTTTGAAACTGTGGCTGTCAAGATCTTCTCCTATGAAGAATATGCCTCCTGGAAGACTGAGAAAGATATCTTTTCTGACATAAATCTAAAACATGAGAACATCCTACAGTTCCTTACAGCAGAGGAGCGCAAGACAGATCTAGGCAAACAATACTGGTTGATCACTGCTTTCCATTCAAGAGGCAACTTGCAGGAATATCTCATAAAACACATCATTAGTTGGGAGGATCTCTGGAAACTGGGTGGCTCTTTGGCTCGCGGGATTGCCCATCTTCATAGTGATCACACACCATGTGGCCGGCCCAAGACGCCAATTGTCCACAGAGACTTGAAGAGTTCTAATATCCTGGTAAAGAATGACCTGGCTTGCTGTCTCTGTGACTTTGGATTATCCTTAAAGTTGGATCCTACTCTCTCTGTTGATGACCTGGCTAATAGTGGGCAGGTAAGCTAGTGCATGAGGAACAATATGGAGAGCTAGAGGATTTTATAAATATTATACTTGTTGAAATGTCTAGCTTTGTGATGGATTGACTGTGACTAGAAGCAGGGTTGAATAACTGCATGTCATTCCATGCAATAAAATCTGGACCATCATTTGAAAGCAGGGAATAGCAGCTTTACCTCAAAATGCATTAATATCCCCAGTGATGCTTTTTTATGGAGAAAATACTAATCATTACACTTTTAGATATTGCTTAAGTGGAGATTCTTGTGGGCCATGCAGTCATAAAAATTGAATCTGTTTCCATCTGCTAACATAACTGACTTTGTTTTTGAGAAAAATATATTTAGTGGTGGTTCTGCTTTCTAAATTCCATTTAAAGCATTTTAACTTTTGTAAATGCTGACAGGTTGGTACAGCAAGATACATGGCTCCTGAAGTCCTGGAATCCAGAATGAACTTGGATAATGTTGAATCCTTTAAACAGACTGATGTGTATTCCATGGCTTTGGTTCTGTGGGAAATGACATCTCGCTGCAATGGTGTTGGAGGTACGCTAGATCCCATAGATTTAGTATTTTTAAACAGGTGCAATTATAATTCCTTGTCTATTACGTTTGCAGGAGGTACATTTATTATTAAGTTAAATAGGCTGCAGTGTTGTTCTTAGGTGGCCTCCCTTTCAGGCAGTTTTAGCACTAGTGAGTTAGCCATCAAGCTATCTTATTTAGCATGTTCGAAACCAAGAGCAGACAGTCTTGCTCGTACAGAGATTAACAAACAAACATTTGCACATATTGTTCATCCTTGTTCTTATCAATCCTGAGCAAAGTCTTTTTTTGGGGGGGGGAAATGGAGTCCAGATCATGGGTAGCAGGAAATAAGCTCCTTTGAATGGGTTGATTGGGACATGGAAAACACAGATCCCCCTCCCTTCCAGCAGTTCTATTCAAGAAAGCTGGTTTTATCCCTGCTGGTTTTGGTGGAAATTTCCTGATTTCTATGACTCCACAGTTCTCCACAGCAGTACCAGTGCTCATTCCAGAATCAGATTTAATTGATCTGAACAGATCTGTTTGTTGAGAGAGATTATACATACAGACCATTAAATACTTTGGACCTTAGTTTGTAATGTGTAGTTACACCAGGGCTTTTGAATTGTAGCCATAGTCCTTTGGAACTGTATGATCAGCAAAGAGTTGGATCTAATAATCTTTTTAAATCTGATCACATTTGCATAGACAATGGTGATAAAAATTTGTGCTTGCTTTGCCTAGGGCAGGGGTAGGCAACCTTGGCTCTTTTATGACTCGTGGACTTCAACTTCCAGAATTCCTGAGCCAGCCATGCTGGCTCAGGAATTCTGGGAGTTGAAGTCCACGAGTCATAAAAGAGCCAAGGTTGCCTACCCCTGCCCTAGGGCAACCACACAGTAATTCAAGGGTGAAGGGAAGTGTGGAGTGGACTTCAGCTGTTCTCCACAAGGAGCACTGTCAAAACTCTTCTATTTCAGTTGGGCATAGTCACAGGAACTAATGTAATAGTATGCTTTTTGAGATCCAGAGATTAAAATGTAGTTATGGAAAACTAGTGGTATATTTATTTCTTAACTAATTACTCATTTTATGTATGAGGAGAGTTCATAAAAATTCATTTATCATCTTAGGGGGTCAAAGTACCTCAAAGTATGAGGGTCCCAGTTAGACTTTCATTTTGATAAAGAAAATGAAAACCTGATAGGGTTGGGGTGAAGGAAGAACATTATTCTTAGAACTCCACCTAACTGCATTTCAAGGTTTCCCCTTTTTAAGGCCTGGATGAACTGTTTATTCAGGAATATTCTTGCATCGTTGCTGATTCTTGTGATCTTTCCTGTTTCTGTTTGAGTACCCTGGAATAGTGCCTAGGTAAAAAACACCACCCTCATTGCAGCTATGCTCATGAAGTTACAGAGCTGCCTAAAACTGAAACAAAAGAATGTGCTGTTCTAGATCAAAAAGGATAGAGTACTTTATCAATCTCTTTTTTTTAAAAAGGGTCTTTGAGCATCACAGTGCACCATGCAAATGTTAATTATGCGAGCTTGGAATTACAGCTAGCTTAGAATTTAATAAAGCAAAGAAGTTGCAGGTTATAACAAATGATTGTGATAGTAGATATATATATATATATATATATATATATATATATATATATATATATATATATATATATATATATATATAT